AATGTACCATATAAAAGACAGCAGCAGCCCTGGTGGGGAGAGAAGAAGCAGTCGGGGTCAGAGAGGATGTCAGGGTGTGTGTGTGCCTCTGCCTGAGCTGTAAGCAAACCACAGCAGCCCCAGAAGAAAATCTTTTAGATAACTTGCAATAAACTGCCTTGAGACCAAACAACAGAGACTGCTGAGCCTTTCTTTGGAAGCTCAGGCTGGAGGAGAGACTTTTCCACCACACAACCCAGGGTGGGCTCCGGCACTCCCAGAGCCAGCAGGCTCAGGGGCATGCACTGGGAACTCGGTGTGCAATTCCTGCTCAGGGCTGCCCTGCACCTGGTGATTATCCTGACTTCAGCCTCCTGCCCAGGCTGGGAAATGCTTCAGGCTCAGCTGCAGCAAGTTCAGGAGCTGGGACAGCACTGAGATTTCAGCTCAGGGCCACCTCTGAAATCAGCAGCTCTGGGGAGTCACCCCTTTCTTGACAAGTGGTAAAAGTATCCCCAGAGGCTTTGAGGTGTTTGTAACTCCTGTGGTACTTAGCCATGATAAAGGAGGAATTGAAAAGTTCACTATCACCACATTTTAGAGACAAATTTGCTGTCATCCCAAGGGGTTTGTGACTGTTGTTAGATTTAGTGCTTGAGCCCAACATCAGCACAGAGAAGTTTAGGAGATAGAGAAAACAGAAAAACTCTTTTAAAACAAGTGCAACCCTTTGGATCTCCTGAACAGATAAAGTGCATTGTTGGGTCAGGACAAATATTCAATTTGATTCTTATCTTATCCAAACTCAAATCTCTTTTGTTATCAATTACTTTCCAAGGCAACGCACAAGTGAGCTCTGAACTTACATTTAAAAAACACAGAAATAAGAGATCTCTTCTGCTTCCTTCCCCAGGAATTAGCCGAGCCCAGACTCCCAACAACCTTGGGGAAGCTCAAATCTAGACCAAGCCGGAATGAAATTCCAAAACTGCAAAAATTATGGCAGCATCTAAACATTAAAAGTAATTTTTCAGACTTATCAGGGCAGATGAAAATCCAGCACTGGCTACACAAGCAGGATGTAACCCTGCTGTACAAGACTGAGAGTGTTTTTAGATCTTTGGCAAAAAATATTTGGTATAAGGAACTTTTTTCTTTCTCCACCTGTTCTCTTCACCATCCCATCCTAACACCTATAAAATTGCTTTTTCATTTATTCCACAGATGAGACGAAACCAAAACCAGCAGTACCTTAAACCAGACATTTTTCTTGGCCATGTCCAGACCATGGGGCTCATTAGAAAACTTAGATATAATCAGCCCTTTGAAAAAATACACATTTATTAAGTGGAAGCTGATCAGAAGAAAGATTCACTTTCATATGTCCTCTTGATTTTGAAAGAAATGTCAGAAAAATATTTTTAAAGTTCAAATAAAAAATGCTCAAAGCCAGATGAAGTATCTTCTTAGAAATGCAGGAAAACATTCATTCTGTTCAAGTAAACAAAATTAATTGGCATTTTCCCTTTTCACTCACATCAGGGGGGTGACCACAAGTGGACAGCAGGGCAGATCCTCAGGATGCTCCCCTCCAGATCTGGGTTTTTTTTGTATCAAAGTATCCCTGTACTTCTCTGAGCTTTGAGGAAAATGTATTTTTATATTTAGAGAAGTAGCCTGGACTGACTAAAAGCACCTACAAAAAGGAAAAAATTACCTGGGCCTTGTTGCTACAAGGCAAGGTTGCGGCATGAAATCACCACATCTTAACCACACCCTTCTCCTGTGGCCAGAGCACCACCAGCTGAAGGAATCTTGTGGTTGCAAAATACACAGAGCACCCCCAAAACCTGCAGGGATACCACAGAAAACTCCAGCACAAGAAAATATTTTTCCTGTTAGAAGCATGAAGGGCCTGGAGCTTTCTCTTCTATATCTCAATTTCCAACTCATCTTCTTTTATAGCCCAGAGACAGCATGGATCCAGTGGTCTTCAAGAGAGAAAACAGGAGAAAGGAAAATATAACCTCTTCCACCTCTGTTGCTCCCAAAACGACTCATTATTTCCACAGCGAGTCTGTTGTGTTTAGACACATGCCAAGAGCAAGCCAAGACCCCTGGGATGCTCCAGAGGACACCTGGATCTCTGCAGGCACAAACACAGACCTGCAGCTTCCCACATGGAGGGGTGTGAATGAAAAGGGCACACCCGACAGAGTTTGGGTGCTGGGCTTGGAACAAAACATCAGCTCTTGAGGTCCAAAAGCACAGACAGGTTGAACTCTCAGCAGAGCAGGTCATGCTACACAGGGCACACGTGGGGAATAAAAGATAAACTGAAAAATGAAACTGCTTCCAAGAGCATCCTTATCCAAGCAGCAGAAAAGCACTGCTCAGCCATGGGCTTTATTGACCGGGTGATTTGTGGGACCTGGGCAGCCCAAACCCAGGGGATTCTGCTCAAAATACTCTGAGCAGGGCAGCAGCACGAGTGCCTTCAGCACAAGCACTTTCAGTTTGTTTTTATACAGGGAATAGGAAGGAGGAAGGAAATAAACATAATAGAAGGAGCAGAACAGCAGAGCGAGACGGCAGCACGGGTGACAGGAAACAATTTATAACTTACTTGAGAGTCTTTTCTGAGTCATCTGTTCTGCAGCTCAGACAGCAGCACAGGTCTGCCCGGCTCTGTTACACCAAACACAGAGCGCACCAACATTCCAAGCTGTTTGGAGCCACCTCCTTCATCCTGGGCTGTGGGAATGTTCCAACAAGCCACATTCATGGTGATTTGTTCCTGTGCTCAGAGTCGAACACAGGCTGTGGCAAAATTCAGCTTATCATAGCCAGAAAAAAAGGGGAAATAGCTGTAATTCCATGGAAAATTTTCTTACAATAAATAAATCAATATGAGCTGAAATTCACAACTCTTTGTGCAATATGTCAGATTTTAAAATTCAAAAGACTGCCCTTAGGAGACATTTGCACCATTGTTCTATGCTAACTTGAGTAAGAGAGAGTGGTGCTTTAGGTCAACAAGCTCTGGCCTCCATAGCTCTGGGGAAGAGAAACACAATGCTGCTGTTCCTCAGAATCCTCAAATAAATCTTATATATGGGATTTATTTGTTAGCTTGAGTGTCCCCTTGGAGCTCATGAACCACCAAAGAGTCATGGAATGTCCTGAGCTGGGAGGGACCCACAGGACCCCCCAGCCCAGCCCCATCCCTGCACAGACCCCCCAACAGCCCCACCTGGGCACCCCTGGCAGCGCTGTCCCAACACTCCTGGAGCTCTGGCAGGTTTGGGGATGTGCCCATCCCCTGGGGAGCCTGGGCAGTGCCAGCACCTCTGGGGAAGAGCCTTGCCCTGACCTCCAGCCTGACCTGCCCTGGCACACTCTCCACCAAAGCCTGGAGACAAGGAGCTTCTCAGAAGCCTTGTGACAACCATCAGCTGCCCTTTGATCCTCCTCCCTGTGGTTTGGGCTGGGTCACAGTCTATGTGTGTGGGAATCCAGGGCTTCCCTCTGTCTGCCCTGGCAGGTCTGGGACCCTGGCAGGGGTCAGGAACCCCCCTGGACAGAGCCCCCAGAGACACTGGCTGTGATCTCTGTCCATGGAAAAGAGTTTTCAATCTTACAGGATGAATTACAAGCTCTGAGTGTTTGATAGAAGTAATAATTAAGTGTGGCACAGGTGCAAAAGTGAAATTTTAGGATTCTAGATTAGGGGTCGAAAGGGGACAAGATGGAGGAAATTGGATGTGTCTTGTCCTTTTTCTTCTTCTTCATGCCCTCCATGTCTCACTGTGGTGTTGGCATTTTTCTGTTGGTTCAGGCTGGGCACACACTGTCCAACGTAGGTGACAGATATTGGCACGTTCTTGTAAATGCAGCCCAGGGAGTTTCTGGTATTTAATGTTTGTCACATCCCACTGAGGGCAGAGCCCCACACGCTGCCCTGCAGGACAGAGCTGGGCAGGGCAGCAGAACATGTTAGAGATAAACAGAATAAACAACCTGGAAACCAGCACAGACCAATTATGGCTTCTGCTTTGGCAGGGGGACTGACAGACAGAGACTTTCTACAATCTTGGAATGATCAATACCTCAGATTCTGACATATGTGCAGATCTACTGCTCCTCCCTGCAAACCAGGATGGCAGTGCCAGTCCCTGATGCTGTTGGGGCTCAGAGCTATTTCCCACTCTGGTGACAATTAACTGGCTGTGCTGAGTCCAGGGAGAAACTGAAAGCAGGGAGTAAAAGATAAAAAACTCAAAGGAAAAAGTCATCCCTCACTGTGTGGCTGCATGGGAAGGACATGTTGAATTTACACCCACAAAACCATGTAATAATTACCCAGGCCTTCTGTTTGCACGTTAATTACACTGCAATGGTTTAAGGAGGAGAAAGAGAGTCTCAGATATCAGCTCTGCTGGGTTTCCAGTCACTGCCTCCACCTTAAATCCCTCTTTCCTCTGCAGAGAGGGGCCACTCCAGCTCGTGGCTTTCCCTGGCAGTGACCACGGGCACTTGCTCCAGGTCTGTGGGATGTCACTGCCCAGGATGTGCTGTGGGGAGCTCAGTGCCTCCTATCCCATCATTGACAGCAGGGCCACATCACCAGGTACCACCAGCTGTCCCAACAGCACTTGGTGGCTCTCTCAAGAATATTTAATGCGTTTTTCAAATCCACCAGAATAAACTCTTATTAGCTGTCAGGTCTCTCCCATCTGCATGACAGAAATTTCCTCAATTCCCAAAATCAACTGCTGTGTGTGTTCAGCTGGGACCAAGCACAGTGGCTGCCCCCATGGAGATGGCACTGTCCCCCCCATCCTTGGTGGCAGACAGGGAGATGCAAAGCCCACGGGTGAAAGGCTTCACTTCAAACACAAACTCCCAGCCTGAGGCATTAAAATTCAATTACCAGGAACAGCTGGATTCGGGTGAGGGTCTGACACTGAGGACCCAGAGAAGGGAGCACTGCGAGCTGTGTGGAGCTGGGGAAGTGCCCTCAAGCCAAAGGTTGTTGATGTGTCTTAAGGTCTCACAGGCTCTGCTCTGCCAGGCTTGGCTGGCCACGCACCCAAAGCCCACAGGACATCCTGCTCAGTTCCAGGGGCTGCTTTGCCATCTCCATAATTTTGGGAGGCCATATGGGTGACCAATATTTCAGGGGTCCCAGATGGCAGTGGGACAAGAGGACAGGGGTACCTGAGCCCATTGCTGCAGGAGCATCCTCCAGCCCATGACCAGACAACATGAGCGTGCAGGTGACAGATTTTATATTTTCTGTTGGCAATGAAATTCAATCTCACACAAATAATTGCATTTGTTTTCCCCACGGTTCCAATCAGGCATAACCAGCTATCGAAAAAGCCAAATGCTCATCAAATTTGCTTCTCCTCTCATTTCCAATGCTGTCAGTTGCAAATTTCTCTCCTGGATGGGTGCTGCTAACTTAAATAGTTGCTGTGTGCCAGTTCTCAGTGAACCAGACCAAAACTGGGGGGAACAGGTATCTTTAAACATAGGACCAGTAATTTTTAAACAGCATTTCTGTTACAATAATAGACAGGAAAAGCCAAGCAGCTCCAAAGCCGAGTTTGGGATACAGCTCGATCTCTTGTTTAACTCCCAGGGAATTTACAGCAGTTTTAAGGGCTGGTGGAGAGTTTCTTTTTAAGCACACACCTCTTTTCCAGGCTAAAGGGACACTGGTGCCATGGGACAGCGAGGGGACGTGGCACCAGCATCACACCCAGAGCTGGGCTCGGGGCACCCAGGGGCGCGGCTGCCACCCCAAAATCTCTCCTGGCAGGGGATTTTGGGTGGCGTTCCGTGCCGGGCGCCGTGCGTGGGGCTCTGTCCCCATCTGGTGACCGCGACACGCAAGGACACAGCG